CAAGAAGCAGAGCCACTTTTCATCAAGAACACATCCAAAAGGGAAGTATTTTTCCTTAAGGATTCATGTCATCAATCAGTTTGGACTTGTAAGGAGTCTCCAAATCTGCTAAAGGATAATAGAATCATTAATATCCTTGAAGCCTAAACCTCCAAACTTATTAAAAACTGTAATCTTATTCCAACCACCCAATGCACCCCTATTTTTACTCCACACCATTAGACCACGAGAAGTTTGCACTCAGCTGGAAAATTTCCTTACAAATGCTCACATGTAAGGCAAAGCATTAATCACAACTTTTAATAGAACCTCTCTCCTAGCTATAAAGAGGAACTTATTCTTCCAACTAATAAGCCTAGATTTCACATAAGATATCATAAACTCAAACACATCTCTCTTAGATCTTCATAAACCAAGAAGAAGACCTAGATACTTGGAGGAACTACAAACATAAATACCCTCAAGTTTCAAACAAACAATTTTTTTAAGGTCCTCAGAAGAGTTTTTGCTAAAGAACACTGAGGATTTTTGCATATTTACTTTTTGCCTAGTGAAGTTCTGATAGACAGAAAAAATCTTTCACAAGCTATTTGTAATATACACATCAACAACACAGAACACAAGAGAGTCATCAACAAATAATAGGTGAGTTAATACAGAATCCCCTCTAGTTAACCTCAAGCCTTGAATATCCCCCACATTAACAGCTTTGACAATAAATCTTGACAAGATTTCATAGACCATGATGAAAAGATAAGGAGATATCATGTCACCTTTCCTAATGCCCCTAGATGGGGTTAGAAAAACCATACACTCTCCCATTTACATTGAAAGAGAAAGCTATTGAAGAAATGCAAGCAAAGATCCACTTCAAAAAAGTTTATGAAATCCCATTTGCAGCATTAGTTTGATTAGACAATTCCGCTCCACACGGTCATAAGCTTTCATCATGTCCAGTTTAACAGCCATATAATATCTTTTGCCAGATCTATGCCTATTCAGAAAGTGGATAGCTTCATGTGCTATCATAACATTGTCTAGCAACTGTCTATCGAAAATGAAAGCAGACTGAGATTAATGAAAATACAACTTTAGGCAGTCTCTTAATATAACGGCCAGAATCTGGGCAATGATTTTATAGAAAACACAACCGAGACTAATAGGCCTGAAGTGGCTCACAAAAGTATGATTTTCACATTTTGGAATTAAAGTTACAACAGTGTGGTTTCAACTTTTCAGAAGTATAGTATAATCAAAGAAACTTAAAAGAGCAACACACAGATTATCTTTGATAAAAAGCCAAAAATGGTGAAAAAATGGTGGAGTTATACCATCCTCACCAGGCGCCTTGTTGGGGTACATAGATAATAAAGCTAATTTCACCTCTGCTTCATTAACTTGAGCCACCAGACTAGAATTAACTTCATCAGAGATTGATTTCGGAATTAAGTGCAGCGCTTCAGCTTCCCCACAAGAGCCTAAAAAAGTAATGAAATTTTTATAAAAGTTGAGGATGCAATTTTCAATTTGGGCCTGAGACTCAGCCACCCTATTTTTAGAATCAACCAACTTTATTATTGCATTTGACTTTATTCTCTGCATAGTGAGGACATCGAGAAAACTAGTGTTCTTGTCACCCACCTTCAGCCATTGAATTATGGCTTTCTGGCACCATAATTCCTTCTCAGATGAGTTTTATCTAGTTCTCTCTTTACGTTCCACCCAATTTCTCTAACCTCCCAGAGTTCTCACTTTCTCTAAGTGCAAAGTCAAATTTTCAATCTTTTTTACATTCTCAGATTTTAGAAAGTGTTCCACTTCAGGAGTGCTATTCCACCCAATTTCTCTGACCTCCAGAGTTCTCATCCAGAGTTCTCATTTCCTCTAAGTGCAAAGTCAAATTTTAAATATTTTTTACATTCTCATATTTTATAAAGTTTGTTCCACTTCAGGAGTGCCATTCTAGTCCTTTTAATTTATTCCTTTATTTGAAACATAGGGATACCTTCAACATCTACATTCTAAGCTCTGCTAACTTCCTTCTCCATTCCTTCTATCTTCAACCAACATTTATCAAAGGTAAATCTTTTCTTTAATTGAGGTTTTGGAGAACCTGAATCCAAGATTAACATTGAGTGATTAGAGGAGCTTCTGAAGTAAGTACAAACTTTTGCATCAGGATAAGAAGCCATCCAAGAAAGAGACCTAAAAACCCTGTCCAAAATTTCCTCCACAAAACCTCCGAGGACTCTATTATTTCCCTACGTGAAGGGATACCCCTCCATATTCACTTCTTGTATAATCATGTTTGCAATGAAGCTGTTAAAACCCTCACAACTTTTAGGAGACCTGAATCTTCCCCCTCTCTTATCAAAATTACCACACAAATAAAGCGTGTCTGTGATTTTGGGCAATAATCGGGTGGAAGGTCTTGACTATCATGAGACGTTTGCTCCCGTTCCCAAATGGTTACAGTCCGGTTATTCTTGGTTGTGGCTGGTGCTAAGCATTGGGAAGTTCACCAGATGGATGTTCACAATGCTTTTCTTCATGGTGATTTGGCTAAGGAGGTTTACATGAAGTTTCCTCCTGGTTTTCGTTCTGGCGTTGATGGGCAGGTTTGTCGTCTTTGTCGTTCCCTTTATGGCTTGAAACAGACCCCCCGCTGCTAGTTTGCCAAGTTTTCTATGGCTTTGAAGTAGTATGGTTTTTCAGTCTATCATGATTACTCTCGTTTTACACTGCATCGTGGTTCTGTCCGTCTGCAGGTTCTGGTCTATGTTGATGATCTGATAGTTTTCGGAAATGATACCACATCTATTGCGGCCTTCAAGAGTTACTTGAGTCGTTGTTTTCACATGAAGGATCTTGGATTGCTTAAGTATTTTCTGGGTATCGAGGTTGCCCGGAATTCTTCAGGTTTCTATCTCTATCAGCGGAAGTATGCTCTTGACATCATAGCTGAGGTCGGGTTACTAGGGAGCAAGCCAGCTGATTTTCCATTAGAGTAGAATCATCAGCTCCCTCTTGCTAAGGGTGATCTATTGTCTGATCCCGAGCGATATCGTCGTTTAGTCGGACGTCTTATCAATCTGGTAGTGACTCGACCTGAGCTGTCTTATTCGGTGTATATGCTCTCTCAATTTATGCATCAACCGCATCAGACTCACTAGGACTCTTCTCTGCGTGTGGTTCAATATTTGAAAGGCTCTCCTGGTCAGGGGATTCATCTTCGTACTGACTGTGATCTTCAACTCTATGCATGGTGTGATTCGGATTGGGAGTCTTGCCCTCTCACTCGGAGCTCTCTCTCTGGTTGGTTTATTCAGCTGGGTCAGTCTCCTATTTCTTGGCGAACCAAGAAACAACCTACTGTGGCACGCTCTTCTGCTAAGGCTGAATATCAGCGATGGCTTCTACATTGTGCGAGTTGAAGTGGTTACGGGGACTATTATCTACTCTTGGTGTCACTCTCAGCCTATGCGGTTACACTGTGATAGTCAGTCTGCATTACATATTGCGGCCAATCCAGTTTTCCACGAGCGGACTAAACACATTGAGGTGGATTGCCACTTTGTTCGAGATGCTGTTCTTCAGGGTCTCATTTCTACTACTCATGTTCCTTCTGGGAATCAGCTCGCTGACATCTTCACCAAGGCGCTTGGGAAGCGTGAATTTGGTTTTTTTCTTGGCAAGTTGGACATTCGGAATCCGCATGCTCCAACTTGAGCGGGTTATTGTGTATATTTGTGTATTTATTATATTAGCCTTAGGTTCTCTTTAGGTAACTCTAGCCCTAATTTTGTGTATATATTCTTAGTTAATAGAGAGTTGTATCATCTGATTGAGATTATCTTTCCCTCAAATTATATTTCGTCTTTCTCTTATCACTATAAACCACTTATCCCCCCCAAAGATTCATACTGGTTTCCAATTCTCTCCACTGCCACTCTTTGATCCTTCTATCAATGTAGCATACACAAAGATGAGCCATTCAGGGAGACTATCCTTTTTAACCTTAAACTCAACTGCACTACTTGAAGAACCTCCACATTTCTACTTCAAGGCAATAGCAACCCACCACTTAACTCTTTATGCTCAATTGACCTCCTCCGATATGCAGAACCTAACTTACAACTCACAATTTCTATAAAGGACTTAGACTTCTTGGTTTATGATAAAAGACAAAATTGGGGAGGTGGATCTTGAAAGCATCCTTCAACGAGGATACTGTAGAGGGCCTTCTCAGACCTCTGAGTTCCATAAAATTGTTTTCATTGATCAGATTGGAACTGGCATATTCGAATTCACCATGTGCATCGAGAGTGCTAGCCTAGTCGTTTAGGCCTCTGGCCTCCTTCGTTTCTACCAAAAAAAAAAAAATGATTCAAGTACAACTAACCATTTCGGTTCTTCAAAAATCATATAAGAACCGGACTGCTCCCACCTTACTCCTCAATCCGCGAAAGTGAAAGGGTTTATGATTCAATTTCAGTTGAAGAGAATTTAATCGTTTTCCACCGATTACTGCCATTAAAATCTGTTGAGCAGCCAGGTCTCTCTCGCTGTTTCCCTGTGCAGCCGTCTGAGTGGTTACGCGCCTTTGTTTCAGGACTTAATTGCTTCATAACTCGGGACTTGGTGTTCGAGCTTTTCCTTTTGATTCTGAGTGATCGGAGGAGTCTTCAAAGTATTCTCAGGTAATTTTGTCGAACAATTTCACGTAAAAAAAAAACATAGAGAATTCTGGAAATTTTGTGTTTGTTGATGTAAATGTAATAACTCTAATTGATTGGTACAACGGGAATCGAAAATCAATATCTCCTTAGAAACGAAGTTGATAGTTTGATGGTCGATCATGAAATTGATTGGTACTCGGGTTGGCCTTTAGCTCTTGTGAAAATTTGAGCAAACCGTAATTTAGTTATTTCAATTGATTTCGGTTGTGCTAAATATTAATATTTAGTATGTAATGTTCTGCGTTTTACCCCCAGGAAAGCATGAATCATGAGGTGCAGACCGTGAAGGATGCAGTCCTCAAGCTTCAGTTTTCTCTTCTCGAGGGAATCAAGCACGAGAGCCAGCTCACGACCTCTGGCGCACTCCTTTCTCAAAGTGACTACCAAGATGTGGTGACCGAGCGCAATATAGCCGGCATGTGTGGGCACCCACTCTGCACCAATCCATTGCCAACGGAACGGTCCCGGAAAGGACGCTACAGGGTCTCGCTCAAGGAGCACAAGGTCTATGACCTCCAGGAGACATACATGTACTGCTCGACCGGCTGCTTGATAAACAGCAGGGCCTTTGCTGCATGTTTGAAGGAGGAGAGGCCCTCAGATCTGAACCTGGCCAAACTTAGAGGAATTCTTAATTTATTTTATGGGCCAAGTTCAGGTCCTGATGATGCAGGGACGAGTGGGGATGGGGGCATGGGGCTGTCTGGTTTAAGGATTGAGGAGAAAATGGGTACGACGGCTGGCGAAGTGTCTGTGGAGGAGTGGATTGGTCCCTCAAACGCGATCGACGGCTACGTGCCTCGTAGAGAAAAGAATTTGAATGCTGGGCGGTCAAATAATGATAGAAAAAGTGGGAAAAAGGAACACATTGGTAAGTTTAGTACTCGGGTGTGTTCTTTTTGTATTGTGTTCAGGCAGCATTCTTGTATCATTTTTATTTTTTTATATTTTAATAAAAAAAATGTGGTAGGTTGATGGACTCATGTTGCAATCAAATGTATCAGGACTTCCTTATGGGGACATGGACTTCACAAGTGTGATTATCACTCAAGACGAGTACAGCGTCTCAAAGATTGTGCCTCCTGTGAAGGATAAAGACCACAAAGGAAAATCAATAAGTAATGAAGTAAATCTCCAGGTTCAGAAGCCAAATGCTCCATCAGCAAGCACTCATAAAATGAGATCCAAAAAGTTTGATAAATCTAAGGATGTGACTACATCGGATGATAAGGTCAGTGTATTAGAAGATAATATTGCTGGGCCTAGTCAAAATGTCACTAAAGAGGGTGGAGAGGAACTCCAGACGGGATCCAAGAAGTATAGTAAGTCCAAGGATGTGACTATTATGGATGATAAGGTCAGTTTAAATAATACTAGTATGGTTGGTCCCAGCCAAAATGGCGTTGAGAAGAAGGGAAAGGGATCACAGTTGGGAAAAGAGTCGACAGCTGGTGTTCTTAAGTCCTCTTTGAAGTCTTCAGATTCAAATAGAACAAACAGATGCGTTTCCTGGGCTGATGAGAAAAATGATGCTGATGGGAGAAATCTTTGTGAGGTCAAAGAATTAACAGATGAGGAAGTCGGCCAAGAGTCGTACAGATATGTATCTGCTGAAGCCTGTGCAATGGCTTTAAGCAAAGCTGCAGAGGCTGTAGCGTCAGGAAAATGTGAAGCATCTACCGCCGGTAAGTTCTCTTCACAATGTTTTAGTTTGATATGCTGTTAATACATGAAATGCTTTGTCCTGCTTCATTCTCATTTCAAATTTAACATTCAGTATCTGAAGCGGGTGTTATGATATTGCCACCGCCTCTTGGAGAGGGTGAAGTTAAAACTGAAGAGAATGGTGATGTGGTTGATACGGAACCACTTCAACTAAAGTGGCCTCCGAAACCAGGATTTTCAGAAGCTGATCTGCTCGACTCTGAGGATTCTTGGTATGATAGTCCACCGGAGGGGTTTAACTTATCAGTAAGTCGGTTATTTGAGTTTTTATTAAAAAATGCCACTTCATCTACTACAATTGCAATTTTGTCTTCATTATCTCAAGCTGGTATTTAAATTGGGCTTTATTTCAGCTATCACCTTTTTCCACAATGTTTATGGCACTCTTTTCCTGGATGTCATCGTCCTCTTTAGCCTATATATATGGAAAAGATGAAAGTTTTCATGAGGAATACTTGTCGGTCAATGGGAGGGAGTATCCATGTAAGGTTGTTATGCTGGATGGCCGCTCGGCTGAAATTAAGCAAACTCTAGCTGGCTGCCTCTCTCGAGCCTTGCCAGGACTTGTTGCTGAACTGAGGCTTCCCATACCTATATCAACTCTTGAGCAAGGAATGGTATGTTGCGGAGATTTCCGCCTGAAACTTATTACTTGTTTGATTTAGTTGTTACTGGCTTTAAATTATTACATCTTTTTTTCCCGATTGAATGATGCCTTGCAATCTCGTATAAGTTTTTTTTACATCTCCACGAACATTCTCTTATACCACACACGTTATCTTCAAAATACAAAACAAAATATATTTAACCATAATTGTCACTGTTTTATCTGCTCTAGAAAACAACAGAAAATCAGAGGACAAGGGAATTTGGGTAGATGTCAGAAACGGCAAAAACTTGTGGAAAATGATTAGACTACTTGAATATGCAGATTTAGAGCAATTTGATATGCTTTTCATTCGTAGTTATTTAAGAAACTATAGAATTTTCCTTTTGTTCCTTTTATGAAATTAAACTTAGTTTAGTTAATTAATCGAACACTTTAGCTTTTGTTTTATTTAAACATGTGAGACTTTTAACTTGTTCCAGTCCCTGTTGAAATGTTTCTTGTCCTTAGAATATTCGTATATACCGTACTTTCTGAAACTCTACAGGAACAAGGAGTATACTGATGGAGATAAGAGCCTACTGGAGAAATAATTTTATAAAGGGATAATAAAATCTGCAATAGCAGCCGTAGAGATAACCCCGCTTCCCAGTTCCTATGAATTGCCCCAAACAGGAGATAATACCTTTTCTACTCGTCCTATTGCTCTGATGCCTAATTTGTGTAGCTATTAAAATCATATCATAATCAAATAAAATGACACTATATAAACCCCTATTGTGTTGGAGATTAGTATCTCTAACTTTTTTCTTCACTTGCGTAGTGGTAGCAAGATCTTCCGATCATTTTGTTCCTCCTCCTAGCATTAGCAGTAATTCTATCTTTCCTTTTGTAGGAACTTTCTCTATCATATATTGGTAGACCTTTTTTTTTTTAAAAAAAAAAAATATATATTCTCCGTTTACAAATATTTTAAGGTTGTATCTTCTTTGGCTTAAAATAGTTGTATTTGTACTCTGTTTGTTTTCTTGCAGGGACACTTGCTGGACACAATGTCATTTATGGACCCACTCCCAGCATTCAGGATAAAACAGTGGCAAGTTATTGTCCTTCTGTTTCTTGATGCTCTTTCAGTCGCTAGAATCCCTGCACTCACACAACATATGGTCGGTAGGAGGATTTTGCTTCCCAAGGTAAGCACAAAATTCTACTTATTCTCATTCTTCTTGTTTGGGATAGAAGAATTCTGATTTCTTTTAGTGATAAATGGATAGGTCCTTGAGGGTGCACAGATAAGCATGGAAGAATTTGAGATAATGAAGGACGTGATAATTCCCCTTGGCCGTGTGCCACAATTCGCAACTCAGAGTGGAGGCTGAGCAACCAGAATCAAGTACTCTTTTTCTATTAGGCTACCGTTTTCTGCTTCTCGAATTAAGCAATTTATGCTGCTGAATATCAAACATGGAAGTCCCTAAAATTTGCCGCTTATTTCTTCTGTTGGGAAGATAAAGTTGTTTGGAAGATAAAACTGTTTGCAAATCGGCTGTTGGTTGGATTTTTTGACGTATTGTATATTTAAGTGTACCATACATGGATAACAATGGCACCATTTGCTAGTTGTGCAATTTTTATACCTGCATCGTATTTCATAAGTGTCTTTGCAATCATTTCTTTAAAGGTTGTGTTTGGATCGAAGTACTTTAAAATTACTTGTTTGGATTTAGATGGATTTGTTAATAGGATTACAAATTCACTATGGCTTGGCTACAATGTCGGTGTTGGGCCTGTTGGCTTATGGTTTCTAGTGTATGAGATGTCCTTAGAGAAGAGTGGATTTCAGATATTATGGGAAGAGTTAGTTTGAATGGTGATTATTCTTTAGCGAAATAGAATAGGATATTCAGCTTCATCACTAAAGATTATGGTTGGCCTTGCTTTGTTATGATGGATAGATATCTATCGTTATATAAAAAGAATAATCTTTTTACAAATTTAGAAACATTTTTCCGCCAAAATCATTAAATATATCCTACATCCTACATATATAGTAATGATTGGACATATCTGAATATGCAAAAAAATCGGCTCATTAATTGTGTAAAGATTTATTTTTCTTTTTCCTGTTTTTTAGTTTTCATAACAGTTATTTGACAATAAATATTTATTTTTCTTTTTCCTATTTTTTAGGTTATCAAAACTTGTTTGACAATTCTGATTAGGCCGAAACATTTAAATCTGAACAAAAAAAACTAGGTAAGCTTGAAAAACAACTAGTATTCAACCTGTGCATTTGCACAAATATATAAATAAAATATTGTGAGTTATTTGTATACATATAATGATTAATAATTTTTGTTAAATTTACAATTAAAGGAGCTGAAATATTTAAATTTTTTAAATTGCGTTTATCATATTGGATATAATGAGTATTTTGGTATGTATCTTTTTTTTGTTAATTACGTATTATTTATTTAGGAATTTCAAATAGTTTTTTTATTTTCCGAAAGATGTTAATTTAAATGTAACCACAACAATAACATCTACTCACATTAAATAGTCAACACATTATATGGTTACCTGTAAGTAATTAGAAAATTTAAAATGATTTTTGTAATTTTAAAATAATTAGTGTATTGATTACCTAATAATTAAATAAGAAGTTAAATGAATAAAAAGTAACGGTTTTTGGAGGGAAAAAATTGTATTGCCACCTAGGTATAATTTAATAGGTTTTATTAAATGCTCATTAGCCAGTAATTATATATATATAGATTGATAGCTTATAAAATCTCATAGCATAAATCTACACGAGATCTGTTACAAAATTTCATTGCATACGTCTCACGTGTTTAAAAAATCTCCTCTTATCTATACAGATTTAAAAAATTAAAATAAAATAGAAATTAATTCATAATTACTACTAGAAATCAATTATCTTTAAAAAGAAAAAATAAAATAAAATAGAAACTAATTTATAACTACTACTAGAAATTCATTATCTACTTTAAAAAACTAATTTTCATGTCTAATTATTAATATTTTTACAAATATTATAAGCTAATACATAACAAGTATAATAATGATGTTGAAATGGTGTGTAATCAAATTTGTTTAGATAGAATTCGGTATCATCTGACTCGATGTGTTTATTAAATTAGACTTATTTTAGATACTTTAATCAAATTGTTTAGATATTTTTTTTATATATTTATCTATATATAAATATATATACATATACAAATATACATAATTGATGTTAAAATTAAATATTTGTAAACATGTTTTCTTTACAAAATAGTCCAAAAATTTTTATTTTTTTTACACAATGCTAAATTCAAATGTTTTTAGATATGTTTTCCTTCTAAAATTATTTAGAAAAGTTGTAGGTGACTTCATATCTTTCAAAAATAATATAGAAAATTTTGAATACTTTTACATATACTAATATAATACTTTGGGTGTTTTTAATATTAAACATATAGATTTTATATTCTTTTATACAAATTAATGTAAAATTTATATTCTCTTATACAAAATAATTTTACATCGTTTGACTCTGAATTTTTAATTTATAATTATTAAGTATTGTTTATCCTCCTCTTTAATTTATAAATATTATTTTTTTCCTCTTTTTAAATAGGAACAATAGTAGTTTTCACTTCCCTCATTGACTCAAACTCGAGGTGTATTTATAATATTGTTAATTAGATATTGTTCTCGTACATCGCACTAGGTACACACTAGTTGTTACAAAAATTGGTGTTTAAAACATGGAAATCGTACGAATTGATGTGTTTCAATTTTTATAAATAAACTAAAAATAAAAAAAATACAATAAAATTGAATATAAATTATAGTTTAAAAAACTGAAAGATTATAGCCAAATGCGTAAATTCTTTTAGCAAGATGAAACACTTAAAAATAGAATGACTTTATATGACTAATAAAATTATCTCTTTTTTCTTCTCTTTTGCTATTCTAATATCAGAATTTTTATTTTTTCATCAATAGAAATATCATGTTCTTATTTTTCCTCTGCTTTACGTTTCTCTATTTTTCTCTTCTAATCACTTCTCTTCTTCTCGTGCAAATGCAGAAGTGCATTTATATAGTGGATTGTTATTTACCGCCCCCTATTACTAGTCACCGCCCCTCCAATTACGAAAGCACCCTTTACTATATTTTTGAATTCTCTCTCTCTAAACTCTCTATCACTCTAAAACCGTAACTTCAACGACTCGTACGCACGTCCAAAAAATCCCGAAAA